AGAAGGGCTGAGCTGAAAAAGTCTCCTCTGATGCAGAAACGAATTATTCCTAGGAGGTTGCTTCATGAGTTTTTGTCACAGAAATTGGGGTGTGCGCAGGTAATTGGGGGTCAGGAAGCAACAGCCCTGGAAACAATTGCAGGCAATTCTTGCAATCACCTGGCTTAGCTTGAATTCTTGGAAGTAGAGTTTCTCTTAGTTTAATAAAAGGTTTCATGTATACCTTGTGGTTCTGTTCTTTATCCCTGATTTTTCCTCCTAGGCTTATGAATAAGGCCTCAGTCACATTTCTCCCTCCGAGACTGGCACGCAGCCCCACCTGCTCTGACTGGAGGCTGGGAGGTGCCTCCTTGGGAGGAAGCTGTAGCCGTCTTCTGCCATCTGCTGGCTCCCTCTTTGCACCACTTTGGGGCTGGCTTTGCATGGATTCTTCGGGAATGGAAACCTCCAGCAGAGAAAGTGTGGGGCAGAGAAGGTTCTCGCTTTTATTAAAAAAGAAGGAGATTTGAAGAGGGCAAACAAAGTGGCATAGGGGGGCTTTTCCCATGATGGGGTTTGTGTAGAGGTCACCATCTCAAATATCTAAGGCAGTGTGTTTTCGATGCAAGATTGGTTCGTTCAGGGAGAACACAGCCGTGTGTCTTAGTTCATTTTCTTTTGCTTTGTTTTGTTTCCTTTCATTTTCCTTGTATTCTTAGATCATCGCCTTATAAGGCTGATCAAATATTAGGCACTGCCACATCTCTATAGGCTCATTTGAAAGAAACAACAGCCCATGTCGGTGGGAACCGAGAGGAGAGTAAGCAGGCAGGAAGAGGGAAGGGAGAGGAGAAACATTTCACAGTAAATCGCAGTATTCGTTAATCAGTGCGGCCAACATTTTTTTGAGGATCTGTTATTTACAAGGCTCTGACCCAGATGCCTGGGATGCAAAAGTGAGTAATATATCGGGTCCCTTCTCACCGGGACATAAGAATCTAGTGGACTCAGTTAAACAGAGAATTAAGCAGAGAGGTGCACGTGCTGTGATCAAGTATGGCAGTCAAGGAGCCGAGGGGAGCACAGAGGAGGAACATGTGTTTACACCAAACTCTGAGCTGCACTGTCAGAGAAGACTTCCTGGCAGAGGTGCCCTGAGCTGAAGTTTGAAGGTAGTGGCTTATTGGAGACTGACGAGAAGGGCTTTCCCTTTTCCGGGAGCGCCGCTTCTTACCCCCAGGGTCACCTGCTACCACCATGGCCTCGAGAAGCTGAGACTCTAGATACAAAGCAGGAGAACATTGTTGAAATATTCAGTCTTAGACAAGGAGCCATTGATTCAGCCCACGGCGATTGGCCCAGGCAGGGAGAAGCAGGCAGAATCATGAGGGAGGGTAGCATGCAGAATCCTGGACAGGAGAGAGCCGTTTCTGGGACTTTCTCCGAACCTAGAGAAAAGGTAATACTGTTTGTGTCCACATGCTGCATATGGACAATCCCTTCCAGGGAAGTACAGTGAAATATTCAGAAACTCACGAGTGACATCCTCTCTTAATCTGAAACATCTGAGTGACCTCATCTAAATATTACAGTAGCTGTAGGTTCAAAGATATCAACTATAATATTATTTAAGATCATAAGCGCAATGCCAAGAGTAAAGAAAATGTTTAAGAAAGTATGGTACGGTGTCTGGGTGAACCATTAAGTGCCAGGACCTGGAAAATGATAATTTCAGAAACCGCAGTACATGAAAATACTTGTACAAAAAAATCATGATCCAAGCCTACAGGAAAAAAATTTGCAGAAGGAAACATACTAAACTAATAAAAGTGGTATTTTTTTCTCTATTGTCTGTTTTATTTAATATATAAAACTATTATGATGATTTTTTTAATACAAAGAAGCCTAAAGGTGAAATGTGTGTCCTGATTAAGGCAGGCGCAAAAAATTTATCCCACATAATTCATCCTAAATGAATTATCCCCATTTATGTGTTTGTTTCTGATATTTCAGATTCCATTTTCTCCCTAATTGTGTTTCAGTTTGTGTGGTCTATTCATTTTGCTTGTTAGGTCTGTCCTCAATCTTCCCCTTGCCCACACCCCTCCTCCCACCCTGGATCTGCGGGATGTATTGTGATGTCTGCCCGCTAATTTTGCTGTGACTGGGGCTGGTGTCTGGTTGGTGATTCATGTTTGTTCCTAAGTTGTACATCTGTGTTGGTTGCTTTGAAACAGTGCCCCAGGGAATATGAAAGGCCGTTTGTCTCACTGAGACTGCTTCTTTGCACCAGAATTCTTCCCTGGCTTCTTCTGAATTCCAGCAAGCTCTTCTAGGAGTTTAAAGTTTAGGCATGGTAAAGAATGAAGAAAAACAAAACAAAACAAAAACAAAAACAAAAGGGAACAGTACAGAGAGAGTTTGGTGTCTAGGTCTAGTCCCTGCTTACCCAGTAGGACCAAGCCTCTTATATACCAACCCTGGGGATAGAATGCCTTGTGACATCCACTTTAAGGGTAATGCCTTGTGAGCTTAAACTTTCTGCCCACCAGGAATGCCTCTAGCAGAACATAGGGCAGAGTGAGGCCTGGTGGAAACTCTCAGTGGAAAAAGTTCTAAGACTTTGGTCGGCGTACCCACTTGGTGCCTGTCTAATATTTTAGCACAGGAACACGCATTCATAATATTTAATGACTGCTACTGCATGGTGCTGACCAATTAAATGGACGCAGGCCATAGGGCTAAACCTAGAGACCCCTGCTGTTCCAGACACCAACCCTTTAGTTACTGCATCACGGGGGAGACCAGCAAATTCTGGAGGGCCTGGGGCAACGGCTGGCTGCCAACTGTTACAAAAGTATTTCAGTGTTTTAATATCCATCAAGGCTGAACAGATACATCCCAAATGAATAACATGAGTGCACATGAAACTTCAAAGCTCGTGCCCACTCTTAAGCTTTCTGTAGGGCCATGTTCACCTTTTAAGAACTTCCCTCTTTGTCCTTAAGAAGAGTTCAGAGCCAACGTCAGGACCTACCGGTTGTACAGGATCTGGGTGGCACAAAGGAGCCCTTCTCCACAAAGGAGCTCTTTATTTCGCCCAGCAACTAGTATAGATCTCCCCCAAGGAAAGTTTGCAAGTCAGCTTTCATTATAGTTTCACTCACTGCAATGTAGCTGGCTTACAGCATAGCTCTGTCTCTAGGCAGGCGGAGAAACAAGCGGGTGTGAGTGATTTGCCCACCTGCCTGCTTGCCTGCAGTCTTTGAAAGGCAGCCCCATCCCAGACCATTAGCCTGCTGCGAAAATCCATGCACTGGTGCCTTGGAAGTCCAAATACATATTGGATTGTTATGGCTCTTTCTTGTCCTTTTAACCAGAGATTCTCACCCGCTGCTTCTTATCAGACACCTGGTGTTTGTAGGTGGGCTAAAAGCAGCTTCTCAGAATGGTCTCCAGGGAAGCATTATAACCTTGCATTCTGTTATTTCTTCTTTCCTGTCTCAAAGAAACCTACAGCTTCAGGGTAATTTGCTGCTTCTCCTGTCCTCATTCAAGATAACAGTCAAGGCTGCTCATAATCTTACTGACTCTCTACATACCAAACACAAATTTTGTTTGAATTCAGAAGAAAAACTGTACTCAGCTAGCCAGCAAACCATTCTGATACGCTGTGATTAGAGAAGTCTGGGGTGGTAGAGAAAGGAATTGGAAGACTTGGGTCTTCCAGTACTCATCCTACAAGGTACGAGCATGTAACCTTGAACAAGTATTTAAAATCTCTCTAAGCCTCATTTTCCTCAACTGTAGAGTGTGGTCATACTATATACTTCATAGGGTTGTAATGAGGGGTAAGTGGAATCATATAGATCAGAAAGCAATTTGTAAACTAGAGAAATATAAGCAAAATTCACCCCAAGACAGCGGGTTGTAAGAACTAGTGAAAGAAAAGACCATGAGTATAGAAATAAATGATGGCAGCTGGATGAGTGTGAAGGAAGCCCTCTCTTGTGGTCTAGCTCGGAGGAGAGAACATTCCCAGCTTCATACCTTCTTCAGTACCTCTCTGCAGAGCTGTGCTGGAGACCAGTGAGTGGTCTAGAGAAATGGTAGGCAAGAGGGTTCCTGGCAGTTTAAAGCAACGGGAGGTAGTGCATGCGAGGAAGATGCATAGGGGATGATGGAGAGTGTGGGAAGGACACAGTGCCTAACTGATACCAGGCTGGGGAGAGAGAGAGGACAAGAGACAAGATCTCCACTGCTCGCATCAGTGTGTTCATTGATCAGAGCTTGTTCGACTAATCTGGGCTTGAGGGTACCTTCCTAGGGTGAGCCGACTGACTGGAAACCCTAATGGCTCTCCTGTGCTGGAGCCAGTGGCTAGACCCTCCTCCAGGGATAAAGCCTCTGCATACCTGGAGGGTAATTTGACATTATCAGATTAATTAAATCATTTTCTGTGGTTAAACTTGCATATGAATATTAAGTCTCAGACTGGGCCTCCCATCTAAACAGCCAGTGAATGTTTTCAGGATAGCACTTTGTTCCTGAAACATTGAGAAATATGCATATTGTATCTTTAATGAGATCGTGATGTTTATTTATGGCAGGAAGAAGCCTCCCAGCTACGGAGACTGATTTAAGTGATAGTTTGGCGTCTGACATCTAGAGCTGTGTTGGATGCTGTCTCTGGAGTTGCTTGTTATCACCAAATGACTTTATGGTTGGCTCTTATTCTGAATTTGTCCAAGTTGCTCTTGCCCCTGAAAGGCCATGGGGCTTTGCTCCAGGGTTCACATCCTGCCTCCACTATTCACTAAAGACTGGACTTCTGTGGGACTGTTTCCTTTGTACACCATGAGAATAATAATGACTACAACTCAGAGCTGTCTGGAAGATGAAAATATTCGTACAATGTAAAGTTTTATGTAAGATGCCTGGCACACATTGGTTCTCCATGTTTGTGCGTCCGATGTCCTCCTCCATGCTTATGTGACCAGCGTTTTTTGCTTTCTCTTAAGCTTTGATGTGGAAAATGGCCCTTGCCCAGGTCGGAGCCCCCTGGACCCCCAGGCCAGCTCTTCCTCTGGGTTGGTGCTCCATGCCACCTTTCCCGGGCACAGCCAGCGCAGAGAGTCCTTTCTCTACAGATCAGACAGCGACTATGATTTGTCACCAAAGGCGATGTCACGAAACTCTTCACTTCCAAGCGAGCAGTAAGTACTAGCCCCGGGTAGCCCCTGTCTCACACTTACCTCACCTTTAACCTGTCACAGCAGCAACAACAACTGTTCCCCCTTTAACCTGTGGGAAGGAGGGAGGAGAAAAGTGAACATGAGCAGAGGTGATGATGATCCTTAAAAGACATTAGTGCTCTACAGCATGAGAAATATGTCGCTGGGCTTTCCAAGGGTATGAAAATCTCAGGCACAGTGTGCAGTTTTCGTCTGTTATTGATCCTTTTTTTTTTTCTTTAAATTGTCATTCAGCTTCATTTCCTGAACTGTTGAATCATTTATGGGTTGAGAACATTAACACTTTTTGCAAATCATACTTGAATTTTCCACAGCATGTGCAGTTTGCATGAGGCTCTGGTGAAAAAGAAAAACAGTAGTTGGGGACCTGCCTCCTTTCTCAGTGGTCTTTGCTTGGTGACCTTTAATAAGCTGTCATCCAGCCACATGTCTGTGTCCCTTCTCTGGAACCTTAACTCAGTGCCCACTTGTTGCCTGGCTCCTTGGTGAGACACAACACACTCCAGCACCCTGTTAAACAGAGCTGATGTTTTTGTTTTGCTGCTATTAATTGTAGATCTCTAATTTTTAAAGAACAATGACGGGTTGTATTACTCGTTTATTAAATTTCTGAAACCAAATAAAGTTGGATGCCAGAATTCATGCCTTAAAAGATTTCTGGGCACACGTACAATTGTTTTTAACATTGTATGTTATAAAAATATTGGTAGCTCCCTAAAGTCTCCGGCCTGGAAATTTCCACTGGGCTCTCTTGTGCTGTTGGGAAAGAAGCTAAAGAGGGTCACTCTCTTATGAAAGGGGGCAGGGGACATTTTAAAAGCTACCAGTGAGAAAGGATTCCCCAGGGCATTTCTGCCAACAAATTCTAACAGATGCACCCCTGGCCTAAAATGTCTCAATCATTGGATGGGCCAAAATTCATGTATTCATTCATTTGGCAAATACTTCCTGAATCTCTCCTATGTGCCATGCAGTGTGCTAGGCTCTGGGGATAAAAGATTAACAAAACAGTGGAAAAATCACAAATGAGTTAAAAACAGATATTCTCAGAAAGGTTGCATGCTCTCAGGGAGGCTATCGTTAATAAGAAAGGTAAGAGGAACACCCACATAACTCTACTACGGAGTGGAAGGAAACATTTAATGAGGGCCCTGAGATATGTGTTATTTCTTTTAATCTTCACAACAGTCCTGTCAGGTAGGTACCACTGTTATCTCCACTGTATAGATAATGAAAGTGAGCCTCTGAGAGACTGAGAAAACTGCCCCATCCCATGACTGTATGCCATGCTATATCCCATGACGTAGCTAAGACTGACCATATTCGAAACTTTTCGATTCTATTTGCCTATGTTCTTCAAACTGCAAAGTAGAATCTCTACCACCCGGTAGAAAACAGATGAGTGCAGAGTCAAGGTGCCTGAGGCTGGAGGAGAGGTAACCACTTTGCTGCACATCATGTAGAACCAAGGATGTTTTTGACCAAGGTTGGCATGGGGGCTTGGCTGAGTCTACCTGGAATTTCCTCTTTTACCAAGAGAAACACCTCTCTAGACGTCGTAGGTGGAGAGCATAGGAAACGGGGTGAGCCGAAAGTAATTAGAGCTTCATTCACATAGCATTTGACCGGTAAAAGACTAGCTTTGGAAGGCAGCTCACAGTTCCCCAAACTCTTGCCAAACAGCATGATGAGTGTCAGGGTCATTCTGAGGCTTCCCAGAAGGTTCCAACTGAATTTCAGATTAAACTCTGATGATTTTTTTAAGAACCAACAGTTATGAAAATTTTGAACTTGAGGAGACCTTAGAGATTACAGTCCAACTCATTCTACAGCTCTAAAAAGAGACATCTAATTCTGAATGACTCTGCATGTAGGGTCCCTAATATTCACCGTTTATCCTCTTTTCAATTTTACCAACCAGCAAAATTTTCCCCCTAACTTAGAACCTACATAGCATTGCCAACTTTAGATTTAGGCAAATAAGAATTGTATATGTAAGTTGTCTAGTATCATTCTCACTGTTTTTTTTTTTTTAAATACTTCTTAGAATTAAAAGGAAAAAAAATTTAGAAAGGACACACTTTCATAATAAAGAATAGCCCTTCCCAAGAAAACACAGTGGGCAACATAAGATCACCCTATCAAAGATACTGATAATAGAATCTATTAAAATCTTTGAGTGAATAAAAATGGCACAATTTTTTATTTTGCAAATGTTTCAACATTCCAGTAAAACTTTTATATATCTATCAGTTTAGGAAGAGGAGCTTGAATAATATCCATATTTTTCCAGTATTTCATTTTATCAGGACCATGTTGGAAAGTCCAGTTTCACACAAGTAGCTTTGAACTACACTGAAGTAATGCTCTCAAAAGTATTTCACTTGGGGAAGCCTGGGTGGCTCAGTCCTTAGGCGTCTGCCTTGGGCTCGGGTTGTGATCCCGGGGTCCTGGGATCGGGCCCCACATCAGGCTCCCTGCTCTATGGGGAGCCTGCTTCTCCCTCTCCCACTCCCCCTGCTTGTGTTCCCTCTCTCTCTGTGTCTCTCTCTGTCAAATAAATAAATAAAATCTTTAAAAACAAGTATTTCACTTGAGTCTTACTCTTCAGAGTGAATTGAAATGAATAGAGGAACAGCACCCCCCAAGCCTCTTACTGCTTTTCCTGCCTTCTACCTATGGAGCCAAGAAAAAGAAGGACAATGATAGGTCTAGAGTCCTGATGTGAAGGCCACTGGGTGGGGGCTATGGGATGCTCCCTGCTCAGGAGCTCCTCATATTCAGCACAGCGCCATCATGGATTTATGTAGGAAAACTTGTGTAATTCCTCTGTCTGTATTAAACCCCAGGGTAGAGACAATGCTAGCTTTTCCACATTTCTCATCTGAACACTTTCAGAAGAGTAAGAGGAAACATAGGCAGGGAGAGTGAGTGAGAAGATATTAGGAGTAAAAATGTGAATTGAAAATGGGCTTTAACTTTTAGCAACAAAAGAGAGACTGAAATGAGGCTTTCTAGTAAAGAAAACAAGATCATCATTGGGTCCCCTGAGGAAATTTCATATGCTTTCTTAGATGTGGCAATACTCTGCTGATTTCTCTTTTGTTCCTGTGTTATAGTCATCTCTAACGTAATTGCCTTTGTACACAGAGGTACAGATTTCCCAATGGGAACATGAAGTCCTGAAAACTGGTAAGACCAGTTACGTTGTTCAAAACTGTGGCAGGAACCACCCTGAACAGGATGGAGTTCTGACAGTCCACCTGCAAATCCACAGGGAGGGAAGATCCATATTTCCTTCATTTGGTCACCCCATTTGCAAAGCCTTATATAGGCAAAGAGCTCTTTAAAGCTACCATTTGTGTGAGAACTAAATGGTCTCTAGAGAGGGCACTCAAGGGAAATAAGACCTAAGAACGAAGAGGGAAAGCATTAATAACTGCTCACTTGAATTTAAGACCAGTTTATTAATGGGCTACCAAAAAAGTACAATGTGGTGTTTAAGACTTGAGTTAGACCTACAGCCATCACGCTTACTAGCATCATGACTTTGGCATTGAATCTTCTTTACAGTGTCTAAAGTATCTGTAAATAAAAGTGCACGTAAAATAAAAGTGCATTTTCTATGTGCTAGGGAGTATTTAAAGTACATCTGTTAACTCATTTAATTCCCATAATCTTACTTGAGTTGGTACTATAATTTTCTTGTCTTAAAAACAAAGACATTGATGCTTACGGAAGTTAAGTAATGTGCCTAATAAATGGGGAACCAAGGCTTAAGTCCAGGGAGTGTGGATGATTAAATCATATGGATATTTAGTATAAATACAGACTCAAAATGAAGATGAAAAATAAAAATAATGATATTAATCTCTGCTCTGCCTACCTTCCCAGCTGTTATGAGGATCATATTCATTCTTTCTTCTAACAAAAACTTAAATTTAGGCACTTGCTAACAAATAAGACATTTTCTGTGTCTTCAAGGCAGCTAAAGGATGAGTTAAGTCTATAGGCAATTTTGATATCTTTGAATAAGGGCAGTCGCAGAAAGGTATGCAGAGGACTCAAGCGAGTAGCCCACTTTGAGCAGTCAGAGCTAAGCCAGAAGAGTTAGCCAGGCAGAGGGTTATGCAGGAAGAAGGGCTACATGCTAACTACTCTCTAGTTGTCAGAAGCATTATGGAGAAGCGCAGCTCAGTGCAGCTGAGGCAGAGAATGTGAGTGGATGAGGAAGTGGTGAGAGGCAAGGCTAGAGAAGTAAGCAGGAACCTCATCATGAAGCACCTCTCCGAAGGAGTTGGTCTTTATGCTGAACGAAATCAGTGGGGAGCTACTAAAAGGTTTTTAAGCAGGAAAATACATAACCAGATGAATGTTTTTGAAAGATAGTTCTGATTACAGTAAAGAGTGGTTTGTACAGTGGACAAGCCTAAAGACTAGTGTCCAAGAGCCAAATGGAAGACTGCTTTGGTAATCCACGTAATAGAGGGTAGGGAACTACATTAGAAAAGATCCAGTGAGCAATTAATAAATATTTGCAAGTTAGCATAAGCAGGGTCTGGTCGCTGACTGTGGGGGAGGTTTCAGGCTTGACCAACAAGATAGCTGGTTAAGCCATTTTTTAGGGTCAAGAACATTCTCTTATCCCATGAAATAATGTATGTGAAAATGCTTTGTAAACTGTAAAGTACAATATTAGTTCTCTTGACTGCAATAGGGGCAGATATGACTCTCCCAAAAAAGTTCTCACCAGTGGGGAAGATAGACATGCAATTCTCTAATTATAATAATAATGATACCTATTACTAATAAGAATAACTATAACTACATGAGCAAATGCTTTTATGTGCCAAAGCTTATAAGAGTTGTACATGTGTAATAACTCATTTCATTCTTACAACACCTCACTTTACAGATAAAGAAATTGAGGCCTAGGGAGGTTATCTAATGTCTCATAGCTAGTAATTGTGCAACTCAGAAACAAACCAATGCTGTCTGGCTCCAAAATCTGTGCTCTTGACTGCAATAGTATATGTCACTCTCTAAGACAGACTAAAGTCAGTGTTACAAGTAAAATCCTATGTGTAGGTATGACACAGAGAAAGACAAAATTAATGGAATCCAGAGGGTATAGCAGAAGGAAGTAGGCTTTTTGCTTTCTGGAAATGCATTTCACTGTTTAGTGCAGACCTACACTCAATCGAAGACCTACGGAGTTCTCGTCACTAATCAGTCTACAAAATTGTAATGTGCTGAGTTTGTCACTAGATGTCGCTTGTGCCATGGTTCTGAACATCTGGCATTGCCCTCTCTAGAGGTTTGGGAAACGAAGGACATCAGTTTTCATAATTAATCGTGATTAATTTTGTTATTTCCATGCCATCTTATTCTAATCATTAATATATGAAATTATGGTTAAAAGTTTTAGAATAGTTTCATAAATATTCTGGCTGTACTCAGATAGGAATTTTGTTTTGTTTCTTTCCTATACTTGCTATAAATTACCTGTAAATTGTCTGATTCTTTCCTCTAGCAGCTACTACCTGATGTACAGCATGAGCTTTTGCCATTCAAATCCTTTAAGGGAACCAACGCTGGGGACCTGCAAGTCCATCTCTTGCTTCTGAATTTTCTGCTTTCCTAAACTCCAGAAGTTCCATGATGATAAAGTCATGCTGACAGGGTGCCCCCTTAGTGTTTACCTCCCTTTAATCATTACTTTGTACCATTTTAGTAACTCCCCATCCATGCAACAATTCATCAGCTTTAGGTGCTGCATATGTATGAGATTTATTTATATGTTTAGCTTTTACTGAGTATTTAGACCTGAAATCCAGGAGCCTTAGATGACCTGTTTAACTCTTAACTCCATTACCTTACATCCCCAACTCACCCTGATGCCTTATGAACAATGTGAACTTCATAGCAGAAATCTGAACAAATAGCAAGCTATTTCACCATGTAAAGTTCATCTCAAGAAAATGCCTTGGGGAGGGGCAACTCTCGGTACAGTTCACTACCCCGCATTTATCACAACTGCTCCCCTCAGGGCCTTCTTCAGTCTCTCCTTTGGCTTTTTTCCAAGAATCCTGAGGCTCCACCTTGGGCTCCCTTTCTCTCTATTCCCGCCCCTCCAGAAGCCACTCCCTGCCATTCCTTTAGTTTTACCACTGTGGTAGGTAACTCTGAAATGTATAGCTCCAGTTCCATATTTCAGTCTTCCTGCTTGATGTCTCCACTGGGATATCAGTGGGGATCTTAAAATTCAGCTTGTGGGAAAGTGACATATCTCCTCCCCCATGTTCTCCTTACTTTCTTATTTTTGCTCATGACTTCACTATTTTCCCACACACCCATTTTTTAAACTGACATAGTATTTCTTTATGACCCCTTAGCCAATTAAATGCTGAGTCCTTGGCAAGACACTTAGGGTCTCCTCAAATTGTCTTTTCCTGTTTCTTCCTCTGCCTCACTGATGTCTTCTCATCTGAATGACTGCATTATCCCTCTAACCATTCTTCCTGGCTCTGTCCTCTCTCCAGTCTGTCTCTTGGTGTCCATAGCATTTTACTTTCTAAAGCACTTTTCTGCTTGCCTATCTCACTCAAGACCTTCACCAGCAACTTTCTTCCTTGTGAGTTAAGCACCACCTCCACAACGTGGTCCATACCACCCATGAGTGTGGGGCACCTTCCAATCTTATCCTCTAAAAACATCTCTAGTTAATGTGTTCAACTCTGCCCAAACAGCCACCAAGCATCTCAGTCAGCATGTTCAGTACTTTTCCATTTCAGTGCCTTTGTTCTTGCCATTTCTCTCATTGGTGGCATCTACCGTCTGTGCTCTTGAGAGCCTGCCCTTCACCGTTCATCTCAAAACCGTTCATTCAATCAAGCCTGCCCTACTTCCTCTAATTTGTAATTATTACCTCTCCTTTACACCCCACTAAGTTTCCCCATTAAGGGTTTGTGTTTCTCATTCTGTATCCATTGTGGTGTTTTGAATATTTTTTCTGTTTCCCCTAGAGTGTTGTAATTGGGGGGGTGGGGGGGGTGGGTCATGGATTCTGTATAATTCAATATGCCAACTCTGCAGGGTCACCATAAAATAGGTAATATAATGGTTAAAAGCACAGATTTTTGGAATCAAACAATCTTAGCTCTTCTGCTTACTATGTGTTCGTTAAGCAGTAGCTTAACTTCTCCAAGCCTTGATATCATCTTTAAAATGGGAACATTAGGGGTACCTGCCTTAAGCCTTGTTATAAGAATTAAATGAGATAATGGACATAAAGTGCTTAGTGCGGGAGCAAAGAATGCTCTCGTCAGTATTCTTTTTATAGTCATTGTTCAAAGTAGATGCACAAGAACTTGACTAGGGTGACTTGAAGGGGGACTTCCAGCTAAAGACAAAGGTAGAAAGCAAAGTATTATATTAAATAGGACCTGAAAGTAAAAGCCCGTGTTGGAGAAGAGGCCCACATGGACGTATGTGTTGTTCAGCTCTGCGTCTCTACGTCCCTATAATGCCTGATACAGGGCAGGTGCTTAATAATCATTGGTTGCGCTCACATTATAAACAAATAAGGTGCCATATATGTATGGCGATCATGAGGACAGAGAAGATCAGACAGTGAAGGAAATTCGTTGTCAACCAACTTCTATGCAGCTGTCTCGATTCACAAACAATAAATTGGCCTGATTTTGTGTCTGCAGCCTACGACAATGTGTCTTCTAATGACTTCATGGAGAGCTTGCTGAATGTGGGCTTAGGTAGATTTATTGAAGTATGTGCCAGAGAGAGAGTGCATTTCTGAAAACATACTTTTGACTGTTCCTAAGTATAGATTTACATAACACTAGGTATGGCTTACTCAGATCTTTGGGACAAAATGAGCAAGAGTGATATGGTAATAGTAGGCTCAGTCTGTACACTCCTATTAAAAGCTTTTCCTTGGGTACTTTAAGAAAAAAAAGTTATATTAAAAACAAAAAGTAATGGGATTCCCAGACAGAAATCTGTGTTTAAATGGCATTAAGGCTGTGGTTCAAATCAACAAAAGCCAGGAAATCCAAAGTTAACCTTTATCCAGACTGTTATGCCATTTTTTCCAACTCTGTGTGTGCTTGTGAACAGCCTTCCCTTTGAATTTCCTGGCTCTGGCAACCAAGTTGCTTTGAATTACAGTACTCTGGGTCTGCTATTTAATGGGAATGTACCCTGAGGATATATGCTTCCTTTCAAGTGCTTTTCGGTGTCACCATAAGCCCAGGAGCCATGAACCTGGTATTTTGTTCTTTCAAATTCCTAAGGTTCCCGTTTATGCCTAGATCAGTCATGCCTTATATCCAGGTAGAAGGACTTGTGTAACATTTGTGTTGCTAACACTGATATGGTTTAATATTACAGCTTATATGTCCTAGTTATAATTCAAATTCATTTTTACGTGTTTCTTTTCTCTCTTTCACCAGACATGGCGATGACTTGATTGTAACACCTTTTGCCCAGGTATGTATCATGCTGGCCCTGGCTCACTCTCCCTCTGCCCCTGGGTGCAGTTTCTAAGTGTGGCCTCTGAATCTGCCCATTCGTCTCCCTTCGTTCCTAACTGTCCTGATCATTGGCCTTCCAGGTCCTCGCCAGCTTGCGGAGTGTGAGAAACAACTTTACTCTACTGACAAACCTTCATGGAGCATCCAACAAGTAAGCATTGACTTTTTGTGGAGTTATGAATCCCTTCCATAAAGGCAAAAACATTGAGCCACATTAAAAAGAAGGAAAAAAAATACCATTGCATGGAACTTTGCCCTGCAAACTAAGTTAGGACACACAATGAAATTTGAAAATAGGATGGAGCACCATAGTATTTTAGAACTGGTAAGACGTTAGAAATCAGTCTGGATCTTGTGAATCTTTGGACCCTTAACACTTAGTAGACGGTAGGAGTTCAACAAGTGGAAGAGTGAGATGAGGATTTTTGTTGACATTTACATTTACTACTTTGGAAAGTATGAATACTTATCAGTAACAGCCATAAATTCTACTAAAATTCTTTTGGAATAGCTATTAATGAACTCAGAGATTCAAATGCAAGATTAAAGGTAGCGAAAAGCTCAAGTCCAAGTTGCCTTTTTTTGATACTATATAAACAGGTTCATGCAATTTGATGAATAAGACTGGGGTTATCTTCTCCTCTGCCCCCCCCACCCCAGTAACTATATAACCTTGGTCATTTCAATGAACATTGCTGAACCTTGGTCTCCTCATCTTTATAATGAAAGGTTTGAACTCGATATTCTCACATAACTTTCTCCTCCAAAATCATTTCAGTCTGTGAGTCTAAGTGCTATACAGTTCACTATCCAGCATTTTAAAAGATCATCACAGGTTATCAGCAGGTCCTAGAATCAACGATCATAGAATGGCACCCAAGGCACCTCATGATCCAACTCAAGTTAGTTTGATTGATAATTGATTGGGTTTATATTTGATGCAGTATACATGAACCTAGAGACTTGCCCAGCCTCTTTTATAGTGATACTCCCTGTTTGTTCATTTATTAAATGATTCACCCAAGAAGTATTTATTTAGTATATACTATTCATCCATGCATACATGTATGTGTTTGACAAATATTTGTTGAGCACCACCTTTTACTGGGAACTGGTAATATAACAGTGACCAAAACAGACAAGTTTTCTGCCCTTTCAAAGCTTGTATTCAAATAGGAAGCGCCAGAGCATATGGTGGTGAATAATCAGATCAGGTCTCTGGCCACATGGGATCACATCCTAACAACTGTGGTCTGATTGTTCCCTGCATGTTCTATTTTCCATCCTAATTACGGACTTACTGTTCTGTCTTCCTAAAACGTCTCTCTTCACCTGCCAGTGATTGCCTGGCTAAATCCTACTTGTCTTTCATAGCTCATCTGTAGTATCACCTTCACCAGAATGCTTCCCCTGACCCCACCGAGCCTGGCTGAGTGCCCCTCCGTGGCCCCAGAGCACTCTCCCAAACTTATCACACTGTTTACGGGTCTCTGCCCACCACCAGACTGCATGTCCTTTGAGGCCCCTTTAGAATTAAATTTACTTTTCCTCGAATTTCTAATATGTGGCAAAATGCCTGACACATAGTGTATGTGCCATAAATATTCATCACACATATAAATTTTTGAATAAGTAATTGTTGGAGAAAGACCACCAATTATTTGGAAAATTATTTTTTCAGAAGAGATTCCTTCCCTTTATCCACCTTTTCTTCTGTACAGACTAGGGCCTCTGGGGCCATACCTATTGATTTCATAACCCAATCTTACCACTTTACAGCTATGTGACTTGGGTACAACTTCTCTACATCTCAGTTTCCCAATCTATAAAATAGAGTTGTTCTGAGGATGAAATGAGTTGATATTTATAGAGCATTTGTAACAGCATCTAGCACATCGTAGGTGCTCTGTAAATGTGAGCTATTATAATTGATAGTTACATTTCTCTTGCTGAATCCAGACAGTGTAACACTCTGGAGTTTTCACATCCATTATCTCAGTTAGAATCACCATAAATGCTATGTATGACAGGTGTTGTTGCCCCCACTCTGTGGACAAGGAGACAAAGCCTAGGGAGATTAAATGACTTGCACAAGAACTCACCACTGCTGGTGAAGAGCAGGTCAGACCTGAAGCCTGATATCCTGACTCTCGTTGCAGTGTACTTTGTAAGGAAAAACAGTTGTTTTCTTCCTATGTAGGGGAAAACCCAGTTCTTCCTGTGTTTTTCTTCCCTGTGAGTCTCCCTAACAGAAAACACTTCGTTTCTGACACTCTGGTCACCAAATGTGTGGAGGTCCCCTGCTCTCGCAACAACAAGCAAGTCTCGGACACCAGCTGGGTGTCCTACAATTTAACTCGGTTCTGACACTATCTACCTGGAGATACCGTCAGATCCTAGATTAAAGGCTCTGTCCCACAGGACCACCTCCCACTCAGATGTCAGTCACCGTGCTTCTCACCTACGGCCTACAGATTGCAGCTTCCAACAGGCCCCTCCTCAGGTTCAATTAATTTGCCAGAATGGCTCACAGAACTCAGAGAAACACTTACTTACCTTTACCAGTTGACTAAAGGACATGATAAAAGCACACATGCACAGCCAGATGAAGAGATACCTAGGGTGAAGTCTGGGAGGGTTTTGAACATAGGAGCTTCTGTCCCTGTGGGATTGGAGGGCATCACCCTCCCAGGGTAGGTATGTTCACCAGCCTCAGAAGTTCTCTGAACCCTATGCTATTGGGATTTTATGGAGGCTTCATCACATAGACATGATCAATTATTAACTCTGCTTTTAGCCCCTCTCCCCTCTCTGGAGGATGGGAGATAGGGCTGAAAATTCTAAGCCCTTAATCATGGCTTGGTCCTTCTGGTGACCAGCCCCTCCTAGGAGCCCACCCAGAGTTGCCTCATTAGAACAAAAGATGCTCCTAGTGCTCTTGTCACTTAGGAAGTTACAAGAGTTTTAGGAGCTCTGTGTCAGAAATTGGGAGCAGGGACCAATATATTCTATTTTTATTACCTCACATCTTTGCATTCACTCCACCCCTTAAGTCTTTTTGGTTATGGAAAGAAATCTCTAAAGGTTTTTTAACAGAGAGTCATTTAGGAAGAATTTATGGAATAGATGAAGGTCAGAGAGCCCAAAGGCAGAGACATGAGCTAGGAGAGTGTTTTCAGGAATTAAAATATTAGGAGTGAATTGGGCACCTGGGTGGCTCAGTCAGTTAAGCATCTGACTCTTGATTTCGGCTCAGGTCATGTTTTCAGGGTCCTGAGATAGAGCCCTGCATTGGGCTCCTCGCTGAGTGTGGAGCCTGCTTGAGACTCTCTCTCTCTCTCTCTCTCTGCCTCTGCCCCTCTCCCCACTCTCCCTCTCTCAAAATAAATAAATCAGTGATTTTAAAAAAAAATTTGGAGTGAAGCCATAGACCAAGAGATGATGGAGGTAGGAACTGGGGAAGAAAGATTAATAAGGATACATTTCAAAGGCTTCTTTAGTTTAGCATGACTCAAGGTCATTGTACTGCATGGCTCCAGGGCAAAGGGGTAGGGGATGTTTTCAGTTACTGTGTGTTAGCAAGCAACCTGAATATTATTTTTCTGTAACTACAGGGGCATTCAGCCTAACCGTGTTGAATAATAGGCTATGTCAGCTCAAGCTACTTTCTTGAAAATCAGGTCTTTCCACAGCCTTGAGGGTTTGAGACACATAAACCTTCAGGAACTAGAGTACCCTAAGACCACAATTGTCACATACAGAGCTGACCCAGAGTCCATTCTCACACTGTGGCTGAGGACCACTCTCCAAATCATGGCCCTTTGCATCGCCTTTGGTCCACACCAAACCACACTCACCAAACCGAATAGATCACCAGCAGTAGGAGCAGTAGGATAGTTGTATCTGATGATCTTTCTCAGAATCATCCCCATATTTGTACAGAGTTGATCCTCTTATTGATTTCAAGTATTTTCTTGAAACCAACACCACCTAACCAAAGTTCAAGGCAGGGCACATGCACCACTAGAGTTTCACCAGAAATTGAGATTGCCTGTCCAGTTCAGGCTGAGAACTGAATGATGGGCTTTAGCTACAAGTGAAGCAGCTTAGCGGGGGAAGATTGGAAAACTGAGTGTTCATTTAATGCATTCCAACCTATTTCTAGTCAATACCCTCAAAGAAAGAAAGAAAACTGAGGACAAGAAAAATGGGTCCACCATCTGAGAGCATTTCCCCCACATATCCATTTGTCTTAACAACTGAAACTGTAAGATTTATGGAGCTCACAAGTTGCTTTCTGGGACATTGACTTGGGTTCCAGAGTAACACTCCTTGCCTTAAACGTAACATTTAAGCAATAATTCTGTCCTTGGAATGGTTTTCTTGAGACATCTGGGTAGTGTGGTTTATTATATGAAAAGGAACTCCCACATAGAACTATACTTCTCATAAGTCAAGATTTCCTTTATCTTTTGGCTCTTTGCTCTGCACAAAAATAGCTCATTGTCTGCCTGAGCTTTACCACCCAAAGGGTGAAAATCTCAGTTTCTGTTGAGGTGATTTCCTTGCACTTCCATGAAATGTTCCATTGAGAGATGCTTGATTGGGCCTGTATTTCTTGGCTTCAAATTAAAACCTATTATTTCTTTAGTCCCAGGAGTTAATTTTGAAAATACGGCTTTCATTTAGAGCTGTTAATTCAGATAAGCATCCCTAAAGCATTTACTGGCTTCAGCTGATGGAGAAATCACTTACAAGTGAGAATGCCCACCATTCTTCAGTCTGATAACCACGGCATAGAGCAGCTGGGAGCAAAAAGGTGTCCCCCATCATTCAACTGTGCCTCTAACATCGCCAAAATTACCAATGGCTATCAGAAAATCATGTAACATCTCTGTCTCAACGTTCTTCAAAGGCATAATTTAATCAACATGCATGTAATCTTTGAGAAAGAATTAATAACCACTTAATTTTGTTTTCAATGTATATCTTTCATTGCTTTATGTCTTTTGGCATGGGATTTAAATTAGCTGAGAATAATAAAATCGTGAGCATTCAGAGGGGAAAGAACCCAGCCAAATTTCCTCAGAGTAAGTGAGGAAATATATGGAAAAGTGTTCACACAGGAGCTGGCACATTGTAAATTAGCAGTAAATGTTAGTTGCCGCCTGCTTTCCCCAAGTGAGGAAGAAACTGAGAGGTTCAGTGAGTTGCCGAGGGCTATATAGTTGGAAGGTGCCAGAGCCAGGACTAGGATTCCTGTCTTCTTATTCATAGTCCAGTTCTTTCTCCACTGTGCTATTCAGGGCTATAAAATATTTTTTTTTAAGATTTTATTTATTTATTTGAGAGAGAGAGAATGAGAGAGAGAAAGCACATGAGAGGGGGGAGGGTCAGAGGGAGAAGCAGACTCCCGGCTGAGCAGGGACCCCGATGCGGGGCTCGATCCCAGGACCCTCGGATCATGACCTGAGCCGAAGGCAGTCGCTTAACCAACTGAGCCACCCAGGCGCCCCCAGGGCTGTAAAATATTAACTGCTGTGGCCAAATTATCCTCCCTTTTAATTTCACTGTCTTTAATCCAGGCATATAACTTCTTATGATTCTTGTGTAAGTTAGGGACCACTGGAAACTGGGCAACCAATGACATTTTCTTCTGGCACTCATGACAGGTTCTAATTGGCAGTCTCATGCCCTGTAAGCAATAATGCAGCTTCTAGAAGTCATTCATTCATTTAATGTGTGTTGAGCCTCTTCTTTGCACCAGGTCTTGGGAGTAAGTGGTAAGTCAAATAAATATGGTTCTTGCCTTTGCAAAGCTTACACACGCAGATGCTTATCTGAATGAACAACTCTAAATAAGAGCTAGGTTTTCAAAATTAACTCCTGGGACAAAGGGATTTATGTAATTTGTGTCATTTTCAAGAAGTCATTGGGATAATTGGGTGCTGTGAGTAGCCAAACCGTGAAGAAAGCAGAGATTCCCAAACATTTATGGTCCCCTAGTTCCATGTCTCCTTGCACAAAAGCCTTCTTTGGAACTCAGGAAGACAGGTCAAATAAAATTATTAACAGCATGTTATTAATCCAGTGAATACATATTGAATACCTCTATCATAACAAATATTTTGCCAATTCCAAGGTTACAAAAATAAACAAGATCCAGTCTTTGCTTAAATTTCTCACGGGTGAGTTGAGGAGACAGACAAGAAAATAGGAACTGTAGGAACTGCAAGACAGTCTGAGCAGTGCTAGAATGGGGCAAGAGCAGCAAGCCACAAGTAACGCAGAGGGTGACTACTCACAGTGGGGAAGGCGCAGTTGAGGAAGTGATGGCTGAGGGGATTCCTTGTACAGGGGAAGGAGTCTGCCACTTATAAAGGAGGAAAATAGTGAGTGGAGCAAAACATATGCAAAGGCCCAGTAATGTGAGCACATGCTGGGTTTGTGGGAATAGTGAGTGGTATGTAGAACCGAGACTGTAGAGGAAAAGGAAACCAGATAAAACATTCATGTGGTATTTGGCTTCTCAAATGATTGTCACATCAAGGGTTCATTCAATCAACAGTTCACCAACATCTATGGAGTGCCCACTACTTGTGAGGCAGGTTGATGGGGCCTACAGAGGATATATGGAAAGAAGTTAGCACCGGATCCCCCCCTCAGTGGGGTCACAGACTAGCGGTAGGGGTAATATGTGCACATATGAGTTGTAACAGGAGGAAATAACCCTAAAGGTACAAACAAAGCACCATGGGATATTAGAAGAGGGGTCCATTTTAGCTAACATGATGGCATCCTTTGCAGAAGATGGCATTTCACCTTTGAAGGTACGATTCTGACACCAATTCCTATGTGTGGATTTTTTCCCTACACATCCAAGCAATTTTCCCTTAACGCCAGCTGAGTGCCCTAAAATTCAATTCAGTCTGACACTGCCTGCCTGGAGATAGCATCAGATCCCACAGGTTAAGGGCTCAGTCCTGCAAGACTCTCCCCAATTCAGCCACCAGTTGCAAGTTCAGTTTGTTATTAGTGCTTCTAACCCACTGACTGTAGATCAGAGATTCCCATGACCTCCCTTCTTGGGTTTTATTAATTTGCTAGAGTGGCTCACAGAACTCAGAAATAGTTTACTTACTAGAATACTGGTTTATTATAAAAGGATATAATTCAGTAACAGCCAAATGGAAGAGATTCAGTCTCCTCACATTCACTGTCCTGGAGACACTCCAAACCCAGTCCTTTTGGGTTTTTGTGGAGGCTTTGTTACATAGCCGGGATTGATCAAATCATTGGCCACTGATGACTGAACTCAGTCTCCAGCTCCTCTCGTCTCCCCAGAGTCTGAGGTGGGGCTGAAAGTGCCAACCTTCTAATCAGGTGGTTCCCCTGGCAGTCAGCCCCGATCCTTAGGTTACCTAGAGGCTTTCCATAAATCTCATTAACCTAACAAAGGACACTTTTTAGAACTCTCTTCAAATTCCAAGAGTTTTAGGAGCTCTGTGGTAGGAATGAAGACAAAGATCAAATATACATTTCTTATTCTAAATCACAATATCACAGAAGGGTAGGTGATATTTACAAGTGTGGATTTGGGCGGAGAGAGGTTCCCTTTCAAAGGAATAGCCTGAGCAATGTCAGGAAAGGGATAGCGCATGTCCAAGGAAAAATAAGCGATCAAGTTTGGCTTGGGCAAAGTATGAGTTCCTTCCTTCCTTCCTTCCTTCCTTTTTCCTCCCTTCCTTCTTTCCTTTCTTCCTTCTTCCATTCATTAAGGATTCACTGAATGCTTGGCATATGAAGGACCATCCTGGGTTCCAGGGATCCAGTAGTAAACAAGCTGTTCCCTGCCTGTATAAATTTTATATTTAAACTACAGAGTTCTGTATTGAACACTACTTAGTGTCTATTTTAATTACAGTTTTAAAGTGCTATTAAGGAGAAGCACAAGATACATGAAATCAAACAGCCAGTCAATGGTTTGAGATGAAATGTCAGGAATTCCAACTGATAAGCTGGGAAAAGTATGTTGAGGCCAAAGAGCAGAGGACTTTGAATGCTAAGCTAAGGAGTTTGGAATTTAATCTCTTACTTTTCCTGAAAAACAGCCCTCAGTATGACTGCAGGTGTTATCAGCAGATGGAATAGCGAAAAGAGAATGCACTTTGGATTCAGAAAGACTTAGCTTTGAATCTCAACTACACCAATTATAAACCATGTGTGCTTCAGCATGTTTCTTAACCTCTTCACCTCTGCTTCAGTTTCCTTCTCCTTAAAATGAGATGATTATATTCCCAGTGGAAGCTAAGAAGTACCTAGCATGATGTTTAGCAGGGAAAAAAGTGATTGTTGGAGGGCGATCGTTCTTACTTTGTTACACAAGAAAATGTCAGGCCACAGAGGGTTTAAAGGTACCTTGCCTAGGATGACCTAGCTAGTAAATGTTCAGTAAGTGCGATCCCTGTCCATCAGAGCCTGCAGCTATCAGGTGTGCTACCTAGAAGCTAGATTGCCCCTAACAGATCATAGATGGATTTGGTGCACTTGCAGATCTGCGAAGAGAACTTGTGGCCATCCCAGTACGGAGACCCTTTCTTCACAATATCCTTGCAGGCCGTTCTCTGTCATTTAGAACGTGGCTTCCTTCCCAAACTTGGTTGTGCATCAGAATTCACAGATTTATGTGAAAAATACAGATTCCCAGATACTGAAATAGCCTTTCCAGGGATGGGGAAGGGAATCATGGTTTTAATAGCTCCCCAAGTGAGTAGGATACTCATCCATGCTTGAGAACCACTGACTGGCCTAGCGTCTCCCTCTCTTGCTTATTGCTAATATCCTGTTGCTCTGTCATGGGGCAGACAGCCCTCTATTCCAGTGGTTCCGAAAATGGGCTCCCCAGACCAGCAGTATCAGTACCACCGGGCACTTTTAGAAATGCACAAGCTCACCCCAGGCCAGTTCAGTCAAACACCCTGGAGATTGGGTCTAGCCGTGGGTCTTAGTAAAGCCTTCTAGATGATTCTGATGACCCTACCGTTTGGGGGCCACTACTCTAGACTATTTGGGGGAAGCTCTCCTGTAATGTGCTAAGCAGAAGTTCTCAAAAGCATGAAGAGGTTGGTGAGACCAGCAAAACCGGCGGGGGTGGGGTGGGGGGGTTGGGGAGCGGCGGTGGGCGGGATTGGGAGATAAAGAAGAAAAAAAGGAAAACAAAAAACAAAAGGTGGAGCCCAGTATTCATGGAGCCTGCATTTGTTTGCTTGTTTCATTGGACTCTTGACATCAGCAGGCTTATTATAATGTAGAATAATGCCCAGTTCCTCTGCAAAAAGACCACTCCAGAGGTTAAGGAAACTGGATTCCTGTTCCTGCGTGACTTTTGGCAACTGACTTCATCTCTCTGGGTCTCAGTTTCCTGAGGTGCAAAAGGGAGGCCTGGACTGATTGGTCTCTAAGGGCTCCTCTGGCATGACTTGCTGCAGTGCTGCCAAAGGAATCGGGATCCACTTTGACATTTGGTGTTATTCCTGAGCAAGCGTATTGTCTGAGGGCCCCCTGGAACAGTGAAACCTGAAACAGAGGGGCTGGTTAGGGACCTGGAGTAAACGACTTCCTTCCTGGAGAGTCCGAGCCTCCAGGAGGCTGTGCATAGGGAAATTCCAGGCCATCTGGCTGTGAGAGGGCTGCAGTCATCTACTAGTGTTCTGGGACATCACCTTCCGGAGATAGCGTTATGTCATTTGATAGCTCATTATGACCTGGAAAACTCCGCAGTGATCCCGGGGGTTGGGGGGAGGGAAACATGGAGGTGATATTCATACAAAGACTCAGGCCTTCTTTCCTCTTGGTCTCCACAGGAGGTCCCCAGCTGCTGCTAGTCAGCCACCTGTCTCCAGAGTCAACCTGCAAGGTAAGCTGCCTCATGAGTCCTGGCTCCATGTTTCAAAATAATCAAGGTGCCATTTGTGCGGAAACTTCTTTAGGATAATAGAACTGGTTTGCTTATGGTGGCCCTCTAAACTCTCCTGGTGACTTTTTTCAAAGGCATAGTGGGGCTTTCCTTCATTCCATGTAAAACCAAATGAAAAGCAGTATTGACTATTTTTCCCATGATGTGCACGCCTGGGTTTTCAGGGTGTGATGGATGTGTGGTAATAAGGCTTCCCAGAAGGGAGGCAGGAGGCAGAGCTCTATTGATACTGCAACTTCACCTCGGCTTGCTGGCCCCCATAAACTCCAGGACAGCTGATTTCAAAGGCCCTGAGGGGCCCCCAGGTTGGCCTGAGCATCCCACAGGGTATGTTAGTGGTTTTCCTCCTAGCGTCAGCTATAGGTCCCACTTGAATCTACATCCTTTCCAGGTGTGAAACCAAAGACTTTTCCAGGTCACAAATCATTTCCCTTGGAGGTCATCCAACTTTGTTCCTCAAATGTGTGTGTGTGTGTGTGTGTGTGTGTTTTAAGAAACCCAACATCTCATCTTTCAGTGCCATGCATATGCTTCCCATGGGGAGTTGAGAGGTGTGGAGGGGCAGGGCCACCCTGAAGGAGCCCCCTGGAGATATATCGAACAGTAACTGTACTTGACATAAGATGCAACCAGTTACAAGTCCAAAATGGAGTTTTCCACCTTGAATCTGTCCCCACTGGTGTGGCAGTGGACCTGAGTAAAACCACAGGAGAAACAAGTCAGATGAGCTCTGTTGAGACCGCCTAACACCAAACAGCACTGCCTTGAACACTTCTCTCTTTCCAGCTACGCCATTCCCTTTGCTTGATACTTAGCGATCTTCCTTCCTTGTATGTTGTGTTCTCTTGCTGGTATCACAGCCACAAGGATAACGGAAATAATATAAAAGCCCAACTTCTACAAACAAAGGAACAAAAACATAGATTCCATTGGCTCATTGGCTTCAGAAGTATTTATGGTACACACTTTTAAAAATATTTTTATTAGAAAAAAGATTGAGAACAAGAATCAAGGTGAAAGGAAGATATTAAGTAAAATTAAGTTTGCCTCTAGAGCCTTCTGATAGGAAACAGAAGAAAATAGTACTCCGTCCAGGGGCTTCAAAAACATGGTGTGCTGATGTACTATTTCCTTTAGATAAAAGGAAACTAAATAGAGTGTTTTAACATATAACCGGTATTACATAGTTGGAGATCAAAGGAGGTGGTTTTGAACTCCTATCATTTCATCATATTAGCTTACCAGTGAGACACCATTGCTCACATTTCTGTTAGTCAAATGCACTAAGAAGCTTTTGACATCAATTTGAATATTTAAACTGTTTTCTTTTTCTTGTAATAAATACTGACAAACATTAGGAGAATATGTGATATTTATGGCTCTATAAATTAGCTCATTAGCCAGAGATGTTGTTGGAAAGATCATTTTGTGATTATTGGCACAGTAACTACAGCTTGGCATAGGGATTCTTTTGCTAAATTCTTTTAAAACAATGGAGCGAAGAAATGACAATACCACTTAGGCAATTTGTTTTTGTCTGTCTTTGTGGCAAACTACAAAAATTCTGGCTTTTCATCGGGAAGAGAATGTAGTGATACCAATTATTACGTAATTATAGGTTTCAAAATCTCCTTAACGCTTAACCACAGCCAGAAAAGGAAGGAGGACACACACATCCTGTGTTTTGTTCTTATTATCAGCTTAAATAAGTCAGGCAGATTTTTCCTGGTATTTTAATATTTAACAGCATGTGACAAAGAGATGTGTTTAAATAGAAACTTTAAAAGGGAATGAAAAATAAGTAGCTCAGAGCAAACAGAATTGAAAGCTGGAGTGCTGCTTTAAAAGATGATTTTTCATGATAATATCAGGTTTTCATTTATTATCACTAAAGTTGAACTCATGTATTTCCACTGAAATCTACAATAAAAGATACAAGAATCCCATGATCATGTAAACACATTTAGCAACAATCCAGTTTGTTAGGAAAGCCTGACTGACTTGGGTAACTGTTCTTGGATAAAAAGCAAGTGTACGAGAGAGACAGAGACAGAGAGGGAGAAAGAGAAAAGCCAAATATTTTTTAAAAGGCTTTTTTTTCATGCATCTGAATGAAGGGGATGCAATTCATTTCAAAAGCTCCTTGTCAGAACCCATGGTTAAATTGGTACATTTGCTCTTACAAATTAATCAGTAACAAATAATTCATGGGGGGAAATTAAAGCAAATCGCTTAGTCTTCTCGCCGTTTAACCAAGGTTACTCTTTTCAGCTCTCGCGGTACAACGCGAATTTCCCTCCTCTGCAAAGACATCCCAATTTTTTTTTAGAAAATCAGTGTAATTGCCCCTTTTTGTGTGCTATGGCAACAGTCCCATTCTGGGTTATATTGTAATTCATGGCTAATGTGTCTCTTGCATTGGAGCACCTTGAGGGCAGGAGCTGTGCCTTATTCATCTCTTTATCATTCAAAATCATTTGCATAGCTATTTTCACATAGTAGGAAGACAGTAAATCTTGATTTGGCCAGAACTGCATAAAGTTTGAGTTTATCTGAAGAAAAATATTCATAAATTAAATTTTAATAATGAGTTAATATTTTTATCTCTATGGCTATGAAAAATATTCAACTGTGGCTTTTTTACTATGAAAAAAACATCAGCTATTGCATTTAAATGAAAAGAGGTTTGAAACACACTCTATAACAGCATATATATGTATTTGTGTGGTCATGTGGGTTTTGGATAAAAAGAATTAAATACAAAAAGTTGGCATTTTTGCACTTTGAGTGCAAAGCCAGAGTAAAGTAATTGAGAATTTAAAATGCAGAAAGTATAGCAGCATGGAAATGATATGTTCCTGCTTTAAGGAGAAAGATGCACCAAATCTTCCCGGGAGTGTTGAAAATGCTAATGCTGTGGAGTGTAGTGAACATCTCGATTTTTATCGCATTTTGCCTTTCCACAAGCAGGAATTCCAGGCCTTTTCTACATGCTGCATCAGGATTGGAACAGAAAGAGGAAAAAAATAGAAGAAAGAGCACTCCAAAACAAGGCAGGCTTCTATCATCTGTACACATTCAACATGGAAACTGGAAGTCATTTTTAGGATCTCAGGCCTCAAACTGTTTTCAACAGAAAAAAACATATTATTGAGGAAAATCAATGTGTGTGTGTATGTGTATGCGTGTGCACGAGTGGGCAGGTGACTGTGTGTGTGTATGTGTGTGTGTAGGATAATTGTCTCACTTTCCCACCCATTCTATCCCTTGCCTTTGCGTGCCTTTCAATACTGAGTACAGATATGTCATGGGAAGCAAGAATTTCCTGAAAGGATAAATCATCAAGTGTTTACTGCCTTTATAAAATGACTCTTTGCTTTACAAAAGGATTACAGAAGTAGTCCTTTTAATGGCCAGCACCTCTGATTCATATAAATGTGACTTGATTGGTAATATATATTGTATATACAATGTTTCAGCAGGTGAATTGATGGTATGGTGGGAGATTCTATATTAATCTTCTTGTTCTAAAAATTTAACAATAAACATATTGAGCAAGAGCATCACCAATATAACATGTCGGATGACATGAAGAACAACCCTCCACGTCCATGGGTCATTGGAAATGACAGCAAACCATGCCACGAAGATGATTAGAAAATTGCCTGAGGACTTGAGGCCAGACTGCAGCAGACCCAGAGTCTCTCCCAGCCTGAGTCTCCAAAGCCTTGGTTTATGGTGGTGTTAAGGTGGTTTTTAACACCAGTCAATTAGATGTTTTTCAAGAAAAGCCTGTATATGGAGAAATAAGATGTGATAACAGAGGACATTCCAGTATGTCTGAAATAGGTTGGCCTAAGTGAGAAACAGACTTAATTTTTTTCAGTGCTCACGGGAATCCCTTCCTTCTCTTATGTGTCCAGGCCATTCTAGAGGGAGGAAATAATGCTTTACTAGTTGATAAAGCAGAAGAAGGGGCTTTCTGCTAAGAAGCCTATTTCTCAGTATGAGTTCCTCCTATATCTTTACTTGATTATGAATATCCCCCTTGAAAGTTCATGGGGGTGTGCCAGACACAGGGTCTGTTCGAGGAATGGACAAGGGGCTCAGAGAGTTATCTTGGATTCTAAGAATTTCTGAAAGTCATGACATTGACTGAGTTTTCATTCTTTGCCGGAGCCACCCGGGCCTGGGATGAGAGATGGACTGTGTGTGCACTAGTAAAAGGCTCTCTGAGAACCACAGCAGTGGCTTGTGTCAGATGGCTGGCAATGAAGCCTGGCATAAGCAGGACGTTTGCTTGGCTTCTACATTAAGCAAGAACTCTGAGGCAGGATTACAACACTGGGGACAAATACGGATAAAATCAATTGTGTTCCCAAAGGCCGCAGCCACACAAGACAAAGGAGAGATTAGGGGGGTGGGGGGCGATAACCAAGAAGAGAGAGAGGGAAAAGAAGAAGGAGAAGAAGAAGAAAGAAAGGGAAGGAACAAGAGAAAAAACTAGAAATATCAGAGAAATTTTTCATTAGTGCTCTGATTGTCCTGTGGCCTGAATTATTGGGATAATTGCCTTAATGACTCACCTCGAGTGTTTAAGCAGCCTGCATACAAAACAATAGGGCAAATGCACTAGAAAAGCCCTGGTAATTCTGGGAATAATTCCCCGAACGGTTGTTTTATAAGAACTGCTTTTGTCTAAAATAGCCCTCTTCTGAACATTTACCCCAGAGCTATCAACATCGAGCTATTTATATTGATCTGCAGTTATTTCATATATGTCTAAAATTAAGTGTGGGTAGTTGCAAAAACATTGACAAGTCAACTAAAGTGTGAATAGTTAAAACGTTACCCTTGAGCAAACATTGCCAGAAATAGAGCCCTGCTCATTAATGGCTATTGCACTGGTTCAAAATTAATTTCTAAATTTAGTGTGACTG